TGGTAGATCCCATCATCAACATGTGAGTTGAGAGTTGTACACATAGAATATTGAATGAATTTTTAATGTGTGGGTGAAAGTGGGTCAAATTGGAAACCAGGTTTTTTCTCCATCTGTTCATTTAGTCCTGTATGATTTTCTAAAGGGTCTGAAATATTGTTCTTCTCAACCAATCAAATTGCAGTAAATCCTTGAATAATTTTACATTGAAGTGCATAAATATTGCTATGTATGTGTTTAGCACTATGGACTTACTAGTATCAAAATGTTTTCTCAGAAATCTACCAGCCAAGTCAGCAAGTGAAGAAAAGAAACACAGGCAGCAATATGAAGCCATGGTAGCTCAAGCAAGGAAAAAAGGTGATGTACTGTACTACATTGAATGTTATGCAACACAAGCCAAAAATGTTTTGCAAAATTTTACTTTGTAAACCTGCTCATTTTCTAAGCAAATAGATCCTTCATGAATTCTGGTGAATATGTAAATCTTTCATGCTAGCTAGAAATACTAAATTCTCGAACTCAAGTTCGTTTTTTTGGGATCAATAAGAAGAGAAGAGATTTTTTTAAAGCCTAAATAAGTCTCTGTAAAATCATAATAATACAAGGCAGGAAATCTAGCAATTGCCCGTATTAATGGTAAAGGTTTTGGCGTGTTTGCAAGGCAAGAGTTGACTGTAGGACTGTGAACCTAATAACACTAATGTACTAACAAGTCACTCATGATCCTTAATCCACACGGCTGCTATAATAGCACCTCAATATGCAGCCTGTAAAGTCCTCCACTGATCACAGATGTAAAGCGCATTGGGACCATGTAAAATGTGCTACATAACAACCTCCCATTATTATTATTATTATTGTTGTTATTATTATTACCTTATTTTCTTATTAATATTGGCAATGTCATGGACTTTGCTCAATAGAGTTACAGGAAGCAAAGAAACAAGAGAAAGAGGCACTGGTGAAAAATAAACAAGAAAAAGTGATAGCAACTGCTGCTGCAGTATGGGCAAATGAGATACTACCAAACTGGGAAACAGTGTAAGTATCACTACAAGACAGACAGACAGGCAGTCAGGGAGACAAACAGACACACACACATAGACATAACAACAGACAAACCAACAGGCAGGCAGCAGACACACACACAGATAGAACAGCAGGCAGGCAACAGACACACACACAGACAGAACAACAGACAAACCAACAGGCAGGCAGCAAACAGACACACAGAAAGTAACTTCCATAGTGCCATGGTCATTGTGTCTCACTCACCTGTGATTCCTAGGGCTTTTAGAGCTGTTTTTAGGTTTCCCTGATTTGAACAATCTCATACATGAAGGCATCTGATTTTGTGTCCACTCAGCCAATAAAAAACTTGCCCACTTGGGCGATCATCAGTTCATCTCCTCATTTAGAATTATTGTAAGGGATGATTTCTTGTAGGTTATAAGCCAACAGTAAACTTTGAAATAATCTCTAGGAAAACCTCACGCAGAGCAAGGGAACTGTGGTGGCAAGGAATCCCTCCAAGTGTTAGAGGAAAAGTATGGAAGTTAGCTATTGGTAATGACTTACAAATTACAAATGGTGAGTGAATGAACTTTGTATATTTATTATGTCCAAACTGTTCTATTATGATTACCTTTTTTATTAGAAATAGAATAAGGAAAAATATAGAGGACAAAGTTCTTGATAAAGCAAACTTTAACCCATGCAAAAATTGTAATTTATGAATGTTGTCTCATAATATTTTCCAACTGCATTGTTATGATATTTTCTTTGATTTATCACAGAATTATTTGACATATTCCAAACACATGCATATGAGAAACTCATAATCACTCGTAACAATAAGAAGAGATTAAGGGAATCCAATTCTGTGGCGGAATTACCAACCAATACCTTTATTCCTGTGGTGAATAGTGAGCACAAGGTAGAGCTGATAATGTTGGATGTCTCAAGGACCTTTCCTTCACTCTGTATATTTCAAGAGGTAGGATATGTAATTGCTTAGTGTGTTTAAGAGATCATGATATTGATTGGTTTTAATGTTTATTTTGAGCTTTATTTATTTTGGGTTAACTTTTTCGGTTTTCCTTTAGTTTATTCTCAATAAAACAGTGAAAGGCTATATATCTGGGGGTCAAGGTGGTATAACAGTGAGACGGTAGTATGTTTGCTAGTCCTTCGTCGGAGTAAAAGAGAAAGATCCCACCAAACCAGTTTCCCGCCATTTTAATCTAGCTAACCATTCTCTTTCTGATTTCATTGTTTTCGGTCTTTCTTTGATTACGGCAACAATGATTGTCGCAAGACCAAAGAAATGCAGCTTATTCACCTATCGGGCACTCTTAGTCCCAACAGGATTAATGAACGCTTTACTTTCAACTAACATTTTCTTTTGTCTTTTGATTGTTTGTTTTTGTTTCGTTGCCGACCTTGCTCTCATTGGTTTCTTTTGTCATACTCTATCATATTTACRCTCCTTTCTACCACCTCTTTCTCTTTTACTCCGACCAAGGACTAGTGTCTAAAACGTCAGTAAGTTTTTTCATCTTTTCACGGTGTATAATTTACCTTTTCATCATTACTGTTTCATTAGAAACACCGATGCAGCTCACACTAGTTTTTAGCTAGTTATGTCTTCTTACTTTATCCGTAAAGAGGTACATAATACTTCTGTACAAAGAAAGCAACTTATTCAACTTTCCTTTGAGTGCTTAGAAATTGAAAAAAAGGATATTTGATGCTTTATGTAAGTTTTGCAGAATTTCTTCGCAATATGCTTACTTGTTTTCTCTTGAAGATGAAAAAAATGATTTCTAAAAAAACATTTTTACTTTTTAAAGATCAAAAGATCTTTGTTACAGTCGACTCTCTTTGAACGACCACTCTCGTAAGCGACCATCTCCCATTTGAATTTCCCATTCAAAAAAGTTCCCCATATAAACTCTGTAAAAAAACTCTCTCGTAAGAGACCCCTCTCGTAAGTGACCGCGACCACCTTTGGGGTTAATATTTTGGAATTTTTCATCGTTTTTCCTCTCCCGTAAGCAACCACCCAGTAATGGTGACAGATCCTTTAACAATAAGAGTTCTTCGCTTCGTGCATTTTTTGCAACACGTCTTTTTTCTATCTAATTTTGGTTGGAAATTTTTGCATCTATAGTATTAACAAGAAATCGCATGGTATTCTCATGCACTTTGGAATAAATTTGCACTCACAGGTTTTCAAAAAGCTCAAATAGCACTCACCCTATCGGTCTCATGCAATTTTGAACTTTTTGAAAACCCACTTGTACAAATTTACTCCAAAGTGCACTCGAAACCATACGATTTCCTATACATATATCTGGGTGTTAAGGTGGTGTAACAGTGAGAAGGTAGTATGTTTGTTTTCTCTTTATATATCTGGGGGTTATGGTGGTATAGCAGTTGAGAGGGTATGTTTGTTTTCTCTATATATATATCTTGGGGTTAAGGTGGTATAGCAATGAGAGGGTAGTATGTTTGTTTCTCTATATATATATGGGGGTTAAGGTGGTATAACAGTGAGAGGGTAGTATGTTTGTTTTCTCTATATATAT